GAAAGGGAGTCTTTTTCTACATCGCCCTTCTTCGACTAGGGTTTCCTTGATATTACGACCAAGGAAGAACCCAAAGGAAGAGCCGCAAGTAGTCTACTAGGGTTTCTCTGTCTTCCACGTCCAAGAAATCAAAGAAGAAAAAGAGGACAAAGCAGGTTCAAATGGGAGAGACCGAAATTCTTTTATAGCCCAGAACCTAGCTTTGATACCATGTAATCATTCATTGAGCTCTTGTGCACAGTGTTGAAAACTCAGATGTAAAACGAACTGTAGAATGGATACACACACACTTTGGATTCATGTAGCTGGTCCCATATAGTCAGGATAAGGCTTAGATGATGATGATGACGATACAAACACACACACACACACTTAAAAACATAAATTTATGGGCTAGCAACACAATAATATTATGTCGATTGAAACATATTTAATTTAGTTTCAGTTACCGTTTTCCTTTTTGTCTATGATCTTTATTGTATCATAAATATATTCTTATATGTCCATAATATTATGAGGTGCTAACTTCTCACCACATTATCTTGCTTGATACAGGGCACAGAGACATAAGTTTTACTGGGGCCCTACCCCACAGGACTAAGAGTTTTACCATTGCATTTTTGGGTTATGGTGTTGTTCAGTTTTCAGAAAGTTTCATGGACTAGCTCTCTGTAATCATTCATGGAGAGAGAGAGAGACGAGAGAGAGAAAGAGAAGAAGAGGAAGATATGATTGAAAGACAAAAGAACCTCCTCTGGCTGCCGCCAGTTTAGTTATTTATATTAACTTAATATAAAAGGAATGAGAGATTACAAGTATGCCCCTGGCGACACTCCCTAGAAACAAACTAATAAGAAAGAAAGAAAAAAACTAACTAACAACATCTTAAGCTGACAACCCACTTACAGCAACTATAAAATAACAATTAAATAATCCTCACAACACTCTCTATTTGGAATTATTATTATGATGGCGGGATAGCAGAATGTAAGGGCTGGCTCTTAGTTCTCCATTTTTCTCCTCATAGCTTTTTTTCTCCCTAGTTCTTTATTTCTCTATTTTAAATAAGTTCTCCGATAATAATACTTTGATATGTTTTTATCTGGCCCTATAACGTGCTTGGAAATTTCTAAGTAGACCAAAGAAAAACAACAAAATAAAACAAGGATAGCAATTAGAGCAATGTAGGAAATACATAGCATTGAGTATCAGGTAAAGGAACCAGCAAATCATTATATTCAGTACCCATTTCTCCTTAGCATTATGATCTTAAGCTTCTCCTTATTATACTTTAGAAGCAGTCTCACCATAGCTCCTTTTGACAATCTCCTTTTCCTGCTGTATGAAAATTTGACAACATTCTTGTACCACATAGTCATCCAATTTAAGTAATCTGGTTATAGACAGTGTTATTCTTCTGAATCTTGCATTTGGAGGGAACCTTAGTCAATCAGATTAAACAATTGGACTTTAGATGGTTTTTTTTGTCCCTTAAGCCTTCAACTCTGCATTTTTAGGGTAGTCAGCAAAGTTAAAGAACAAGGCTGCAGATGATTGATTCCTTTATGTTTTTCAAAGTTACTATCTTTAGTAGAGAAACCATAACCATCCAAATAAAAGTACTTGGCTATAAATGCTATGTGTCCCTCTACATCTGCAATTTCTTCTTTTCATAGATGAAATTTAGAGACTGAGTGGAAGAGAGGACAAAATGATAAGAAAATTGTAACATGAGAGAGAAGACATATTCAAGGGTGAGCCTTGGCACAACTGTTGGGTTGCTCCATTGCAACCTGGGTGACCAGGGTTCAAATCTTGGAAATAGCCTCTCTGTGTATCTTCAGGGGGGAGGCGCGTACATCTGTCCCTCCCAAGACCTTGCATTGGCAAGAGCCTTGTGCACTGGATGCCATTTTTTTTGAGAGAAGACATATTTGAAGAGGATATTTGCAGAGAAACCTTCCACCTTCCTACCTATAGGTACATAAAATGATGGTTTCCTCTTCTCTTATTAGATAACCCCCAAAATAGATATCCTGGGTGTTTTCTCTTTTTCTCATTGCTTCTTATTTCTTATTCTTTTACAAACCTTTTCTTTTTCTTCCCCTCTTCACTATTTATAGATCAAACTCCTTAAGACTGTTAAAATTGTTTGGATTATTTAGAAATCTTTCTTCAGAAGGGGAGCCCGGAGCCTTCTTCCAAGGAGATTAAGCAGGGATTGGGGTGGTTATATAGCCACTCCTCCCTATGTGTGAACAATACCTGGCCCTCCACTTAAAGAGAGGGAAAGCCAGGTGTCTAACACTCCTTTAATGGCCTAAATGGGCTTTAGTTGGCTCATTTGCCTCCTTTCAAAGACATGGTCCCAACTCACTCAATTGGGTTCCAAACAGGCTTTAAATTATTGGATTGCACAGGCTTATAATTGTGCGCATTCTTTTTTTTTAAGAAAATTAAGACAAACCTAAATGTATCTTATTATAAATTTTCTTCAACATTTTAATTACCCTCAGTCTATTTATACTTTTATGAATTATGCAACTATGCTTTGTATTATGGTTGTTTTTCTTTTTAATAAGGAAACAGAGAGAAAAAATTTAGAGTGTTAGGCAGTCAAGAAACATGTTCAGAAGRTGAGTATGGCAGAAATGTGAATGCTAAGATGGATGAGTGGAAAAACAAGAAAGGATAGGATCAGGAATGAAGCCATCCATAGAAACCTAGGAGTAAGCTAAGATGGTTTGGTCACGTGCATAGAAGACCACCAACAGCTCCAGTTAGAAGAAGTGATTTGTTACAAGTGGAAGGGGCTAGAAGAGCTAGGGATGTACCAAAAAGGACATGGGTAGAAGTAGTTAGAAATGATTTAAGCACTAATAATTTTAACAGTGGATATGGTTTTAAATAGAATGAATTGGTGAAACAGGATTTATGTAGCCAACCCCATATAGTTGGGATAAGGCATGGATGATGATGATGATGACTGATGATAGGAAAAAATCTTCAATTAAAAGATACGTTGTTTTTCTACCATTTTTCTTCTTGAGATCTATACCTTTTCTTTTATTTTCTATTTGATTGGCTTGCTTTAGCACCTCCTAGAGCATCACTTGTGGTTATTTCCCGACTCTTCAGTTTTTAGATAGACAGCATTTCTGTATCTTTTCCTTTCTTTAGGGAATATATATTATCAATAACAAAAATATGAAAACCTTGCACAAATGCTGCACTTATAATAAATAAGAAACATGCATGGATATATACAAAGGAGAGAGGAATTGGCTACATTTGCAAACTGGGATCATGACTTTTAAAAAAAGGATCGGTATGATCATTTTCAAAAGATATGCTTTTATTAAACAATTATTTTCATGACTAGGGCAATCAAAATCAGATATTTCAAATTCTCTGTTTTAGAAGACAAGAAAAGTAATAAATGGTGTAAGATGGTGGAGGTGGTGATAAACTGATGGAATCCATAACTGGAAATGTTTGTGTCATCTAAGTGTTTTTACTTGACAATTTCATTTTCAATTCATCAAAGAAGTAGTTCACACAATCAATAAGGTAATTAAGGGAGGCATTACCTTTCCAATAGCCCAAAAGAAGGACTTCTTCCTCCACCATACTGTTGGAATAAGTATTTCACAATGTCACCTTCATGCATAGAATAAGATAAAATGAATTACAGTTTATAGAATTCTTCTTACCAAAAAAAATTACAGTTTATAGAACAATGAACATTGGTAGTAATTCAAAAAGTGTAAATAATATGAGACATTAAACATGATGTTCAGATCAATGTTTTGAAAACCAAATGGAGGCCAATCTGTTCAAGGGGTGGGAACTGGGTAGTCCAGTTTTTGATGGATGCCAAAATTTAGTACCAGACTTAACTGTTCCATATGCCAGTTAACATCCAAATGGTCCAAAGCCTATTCCTGCCAGATGTTAGGACTTGGCTTGGATGAAAAAACGAAGATCTGTATTACAATGAGAGCARTCACATGTAATAGTTGACTCTAAAAGTCATTGCTACTTCTGTTTATGGTTAGTAGCAAATTGGAAATAAAGTATGAGCATGAAGCTTGAAATTAGTTTAAGTGCCTAACAAACTCTGGAATGGTTCTGAATATTATCATCTGTATGAAAAAGTAAGATCTTCGCACATTTGGAAACTCCAGGATTTATCAGGAAACCTACGTGGAAGCTGTGGTGGTTCATAACTTAGGATAGAAAGGCCTTTTCTAATTATTCGCACAAAATCCTTGTCTCCAGATTTCATTACCCATGAAGTCAGAATGGATGTAAAACATTTAATAAAACAGTGCAAGGAGGTAGATGTGACTTCCATCATCTTCTACTTAAGTCATTTCCTCGTAAATCATTTTAGAGTGAAGATCTGGATCTAAGCATAATATCTTATTCTTAGCCACCTTTCTGATTTCCTATATCAATTACCAATAACATCAATACTAAAACCAACAGGGTAAATTGCAGGGACTCCCTGCACTTCTTCCTTTTGGGGGTGTTACACTTAGCCCCCTGTACTATTTTTTGCAAACTTAGCTCCTTCTACTTTCATATAATGTAATATCATTTTTATGCCTTTAAAGAAAAAATCGGGACTAGGTGATATCTGATTTTGGTTAATGGAAGAGGTCATATATTCTACCATATCAAAACTATGGAAAATTACTTAGACGGTTTAGACCCATTGTTTAATTTATGAATACGCTTTGACAAACCAGAACATTGGTTCAAGGCACATCACTTGGATGGGCAAGATTAATCCATTGCTCTAGGAGACACTTTGATGACCTTGACTTTGGGGTTGATTTCGTATATTATTTGGATGGCCTTAATTAGTTGAAAGCTTGGTATCGCTTGGATGTTTGAGACTAATCCAGTGATCTTAGGACTAGGAAACCACTTTAGTGGCTTAGGTCTATTGATCTGGTACCTCATTTGGATGGGCTAAATAAGTTGAAATATTTTTGCAAATATTTTGGATGGATAAGATTAATTGACTGATCTTAGGAGGCCATTTTCATGGTCCAGATTTTTGGTACATATTTGGGTAAGATTTTTTTAGATTTTTGGTGCTTTACTTGAATGGCCAAGATTACTTGAAATTCTGTACGTTTCTTGGATGGTCAAAATTAATTCTTCACTCTTAGGAGAAGATTTTGATAGCTAGACTTGTGTTGATTTGGTACATTTTTTTGATGACCTAGATTAGTTGAATCTTGGTAAATCATTTGGATAGTTGAGATTAATGCACTGATCTTAAGAGACCACTGTTATAGCCCAGATCCTTGGATTAATATGTTACATCATTTACATGGATTTTTTTTTTTTTTGGAAATTTGAGTAATTTGGTACATCATTTGCTATACCATTTCCATGGCTTGATTACATGAAAACATTGTATATCACTTATATTTCCAAGACTGATCTTTAGTCATGAGTTCAATGGTCTATATCTTTTAGTTAGAAATATGATTGTGTAAATAGAAAATTTTTCATATAAAGTAAAACAAGCATTTTAAGGTTTTAGAAATGTCTAACTATGCACATGATATACACATGGGTATATACTATCAACTCCTTTGATGGAATGGCAATGGAAGGGGTTAATTGTAATAATATGAAAATACAAAGGGCTAAGTATAGTAAAAATAATACAAGGGGCTAAGTGTCACAACCCCCGAAGTACAGGAGTTCCCTGTAATTTACCCAAACCAATAACCTAGGCCCTAATAATTAGACATGAGATTCCAGGATTATACTTTAGAAATATAGATTAGTTGCTCACCACTTTCATACATTGAAACACCGGTATTTGGATCAATGAGGAAAGGGAACCTGCAAAAAATTCTTAGCAGCTACAAACTAAATTCAAGAAATAAGAAATCAGAGCAACCTTCACATGAAATTGGAGATCTATAAATTGAATCTTTAATGAAAAGGAAAACATTTTTGAATAAAATAAGAACACAAGGAAAGCACGTTGAGCTCAGTGTTGCATGGACTCCCCTAAATGGATAACATGTGCTGGACACATGTCCAAGTCCAACACTCCACAGATTCTTGAGGGCACTTCTACATACATTTCCTTTTTTTATCTCCTATCTTTTTTTGATTGGAAGTGGTAACTTTCAATTGAAGTATTACAAAAGCTGAAAGACAGATTACAAAGCAGTACAAAAGAGCTTCCCCTACTTGTTCCTTGTTTAGCTAAGCTGTCAACCATCTCATTGGCTGATCTTCTAATCCATTTGAAACTGACATCACTCTCCCTTGAAAGACAAAATATCTCCATCACAACCTGCCTGTGGGTCCATGCCCCCAGATTCCTTGTTTGCATCCACCCTATCACTAACTTCGGGTTGTCTTCCACTTCTAAATGTTGGACACCCAACTGTTTAGCCAATCTTAAGCCTTGAAGGGGGGCCAAAATTTCTGCTCTAAGTGAGGTTCCCATCCTATTGAACCAGAGCCACTACATTTCCTTCCCCATCTCTAAAAATTCCTCCAATACCAAAAGGTCCCAGGTTGCCCATTAAGCTTCCATCAAAGTTAAGTTTTATTCTTTGAGATGTTGGAGGGACCCAAACCTCCTGAGTTGTAGCCTTGATAGTTGAAATCATTACTACTTCATTCCATCCCGCAAGTATGTCCGTCACGAGAAACTCCTTAAACAGCTCACTTGTTTTATCCCAATTTGCTACTTTGAAGGTGATATTTTCTATTATCTCCTAGCTTATTTGACACAAATGAACAGCTAATCTACAAGATGAATCCATTTTTTATATCAAACGTAGTGTTTTAAAAGTGCAAGGCACAAAAAAAGGCGTAGGGGTCAATTTGCGCCCCCAAGGCGCGCACCTTTTTGAAGCAAGACACAAAAATTAAAACAAAATGCTAAAAAATAAAAAAAAAATCAAAAATAAAAAAATATTAAACATAACATTAATAAAAAATATATACTTAAATTTTAAAATAAATATTTTAAAAAAGTAAAAAAACCAATTATCTAAAATTAAAATACATACACATAACATGTAAAGCATATTCAAATGAGAATTTAAAAATATAATCAAACATATAAAACATTTTCGAGCGTGTAAAACCCATAATCTCTTTTCTTCTTCAATTGCATTACTTCAAGTAGCCAATGTGATGTAAAGCATATTACATTCTTGATTCTACGAGCTGTCTTTGTGCCACACCCCTCGAGGCAAGCCCAAACAAGTCCATGTTAGGGTCTTAAATTCTTAATTCTCACACAAAAAATAATGATTTTATAATTTTGATTGCTCTTGAAGAAGATATTTTATTAGGATGAATGAATGAACAACATTACCAAATAGGGGGTTCTCAGAGCTTCGGTGCCCAGCCGCTAAGTTCAAAAAAAGCAAAAAAAACGTCAACTTTTCAAAAGGCACACGCGTAGGTGTGCCTTTTAAATTACTGATCAAACGTCACTTAGCAACAAAAAAACATGAATAGTTTTAATAGTATATACTTTTCCATATAGGTGCCCACAAGTCCATGTTTTCTCATCAATGAGACTCTTGGAAACATGTTGCATTCCAACCCATGTCTGTCTCCATGCAACACTGGTTTAGATGAAATATACATTCTATCCATCCTAAAGGCCAATATTGAAGTTTCCAAGGTGATAAAACTGCCTTGAAATAATAGGTACCACCTTTATCCTGGATGATGAATCAGAAATGACAAAGCAGTGGCTGGCTCAAGTATATGGGATTCAATATGCCTCAGGCCAATCTCTGATGATTTATTTATACATCAAAATAACTCATAAATGTTTCACTAGACAAACTTCAATAAGATATTACGTACTGTTCCTTGCCACCATAGCTTTTAACCATCTCCCTATGTCTTAAAGAACCTTTTGGGCAAGGATAGACCTGCATAATCACCAAAGTGACATGTCTAATCAGAACCAAGGTAATATAAGAAAAGTAGATAATAAGAAATAATACAAGCATTTCACCCTTCCACCTCCCTAAATTAATTTCTCATGATACATTTACCTGAGGGTGAAATTTAAACCTCCTGTAATAAAAAAGAACTTCCAAAAGCTCTTGTTATTTCTGCAATATTTCAATATGTGTTTCTGTGTGTGTGTGAAATTTTCAATTTGTTATGTGAAAAAATTATAATTTTAGAAAAATATTGAGGAAATTTCACTATTTTGCCAAAGACAATTGGAAACAATTAAGAGGAACAGAAAAATGCTAAAATGACTTTTCTGCATAAATTAATTGAAAAGGGTATTTGGATTTATTGATTCTAGACATTTGAATCAACAAATTTAATTATGCTTTCAGAACATAAAGACCTTTTAAATTTTAAGTTGAATAATTATTTTGATAATAATTAATTTTTAATAATAATCATAGTTATAACTAAAGAATTACTTATGATAGAGATTATTTAAAAGAACTTCAAGGTAAAGGAGTTAAGATGTAAAAGTTATATTTGATTCTCAAGGATATTCACTTTGCATGATAATAATTAGATTTTCCTATTGATGCCTATTTAGGATTTTTAACCTTCTATTATTTGTTGCATGCAGTGAATTGTTAATTTTTCTAGGTTGAGTAATTTAATTATTACGTCTTTTAACATTTCCTGAAGTTTCCTAAATATTTCCATCGATTTATACTATTTCTACAATTCACTATGGTTCAAATAAATTCAATTAAGAATTAGTTCTCTACTTTGTCTTTTTTTTTGTTTATATTTTGTTTTGCCAAGGGAGTCTTTTTCCAAAGCCCTTACTAGAAAATGATTTATTTGCGTTATTTAAGACTAGAAATTGAGTTTATTTTCCATCATATGTAGGTTAAAAAGCCATTGTATGTGGATTTGCTTGACTTTCAAGTCAAACATGATTATATCTTCTTAGGCTTCTATTGTATAAGTGGTAAATTTTATTGTTTTAGGTACATATATGGTAGATATAGATTAAAAATAGGATAAAATCACTTTCCTATATATATTTAGCCTTTTAATATATCTATATTTAATTTTTTTGATAAGTTTGTAAAAAATAGAAATAATCTTATGATTTACAATATGATTCACAATTTGATTTTGATTCGATTCAACTTTCTCTGCAATGTACAATACGACTACAATTTTCAAAACATTATTCTCAAGTCATTTGTCACATCAATGACTTAATCACTTGCTCCATGTTATCAACTCTGGAAATTTTTACCATTACTGGAAATTGCATAATGGTATTAATGTATTATTGGGCATGTATGAGTGTTCTCTTTCATTTAATTCTATAACACATGGTATAACTATTTTCTTTCTACACTACCTCCTTTCCCTTGTTTTTCCAATTTTATTATGTGGAAATTAAGATATTACTGGAAAAAAGAAAAAAACAATTCAATGATTGGGGACGAAATGGTGTATTTAATGCATTTTTTTATAGATAGGATATCACATTTCCATTAAAACAAAAAGAAATTACAAGAACAGTCCCTTGGGAAAGCCCAAGATAATGCCTCTCCAAACATGAAACACATAAAACACATAAAACACATAAAACACATAAAGCACATAATCTAAAGTAAAAAGTACATGAGTACTAATACAAAATTACAGTTGAGCCCAAAAAAGTGTTTCCCTATTTGTCCCTTGTTTTGCCAAGCTATCAGCAAAGGCATTAGCTGATCTCCCCACCCACTGTACAGTAACAGACATATTCCTTATCAACCATTTGTATTTCTTTAGCTCATTCTTGTAGCCCCACACAACGTCCTCCAGATTATTTAACTACTCCACCACTACCTTAGAATCCCCTTCAATCAGAAACTGCTCCACACCCAATTCTTTTGCAAGGAGGACCCCTTGTATAGTATTTAATGCATTTCTTCTACCATAAAAATGACCTCCTTCACCTGGCTTAATCCTAATCTCTAAGTTGGAGTCAAACACACGCACACACAAACACATTCAATTGCTAAATGATAAGACAGAGATTCCTCTAACCTCCTAAAATTTTAGGAGGTTCTAGAGGAAGTGGAAGTGAGATGCTCTTAGCTTATGCATGCCCTGCGGAATCAGTGATTCTTTCTTACTAGATTTTGGAAGGAATATTATTAAGAGGAATTCCTAGATTGGATATCATTATTGAATGAAAGAAAGATGCTTCTTTCAGGTCCATGGAAGTTTAGCCAGTCCCTTAGAAAGGCAAGGTCTTTCATGTCCTGGCTAAAACCCTCATTTCACCAGGCTTCGATATCAGTTTAACAGATAATGGTTAATCTCACATAGAGGGAGTGATAAGGGGCGATTTGTATTGGGGATCCATCCTGTTGGTTAACAATTTGGATGATTTTGTACATTAAATTACAGTTTTTGATTGTTTTTGTGTATAAGATTACAATGACCTCCTTTTTCTGTCCGTGGAGCCCTCAACATGCCTCAGGTTATATTTTTGAAAGCTTGAAGGCTTTCCATGTCCCTGCCCAATTTTATTACAATTTTGTAACTAAATGATAAAAAGTTAAGTTGAGTAATTATCTTATTTATCAAAAAAAAAAAAGTTGAGTAATTATCTTAGGAAATTTGTAGTGTGTTCATTCATTTGGATAACCTATCATGTCTARMAAGGTTTATTGTCCTCATGGTGTCCCTTATGAGTTACTTGTTAAAATATCTCACTACTTGATATCTTTCATTTTTCTCTCATTCTATAGGTGTTTATAGAACTTCCTTTCACAGGTGGACACTGACAGAAAAAAAATAAAGCAACCAATCTGGAGCACATAGTAGTGTTTTTCTATAATCAATTCTAAGAAGGTAAAAGTGAATTTTAACTCAACTTATAGATGAAGGAAACTATGTTTTTTGTGACTGCTAGATTACGGAAAAAGTAGGTTACAGATTGACTATGGAATTTTACTATTTTATTCATTAGGAAAGTCAACTATGGAAGCTTTTCTTTATTTATTTATTTCTTTTTTATGAATAAGTTGGGAACAATCCACAATGTCAAGGTTTAGGTTCATTTAACATTATTTAGGATCAAACCCAGCTCCAGACACTTTCTTGAGTCTCATGATAATAAAAAGCAAATAATCCTAGAGAATGCCCATAGAAAGCATCCACTGCAAGAGAACCATCCCATAACCACCTCATAAAAATCTAAGAAAAAAAAAAGAAAGAATAATCAACTGTAGCAACAACATAAGAAACTTTGAAAAAATGAAATAAAAATGTAAATTGGAAATCATTATATAAGTATTCACTAAGTCACCTCTACAGAAAGATCCAGCTCAGTCATGGCCTCTCGAACTCTCCTGCAGAAAGGGCATGCCTCTGTTGACAAATAATATTAACACATAACTTATGCATCATTAAAATCCTAAACTAAAAATATAACAAATAAAAAGTTAAATAAAGTTAGTGAATGTAGTAAAAAAGTAAGTCTGAGGAGATGGAGTGAACTGTCACATATTGATTAAAATGCTGGCTGGAGATAGGAGACTCCCTAGTAGGTATTAGATGGATGAAAGAAGATATCTCTAGTCCATAGTTGTACCTTTACTCTATAGAGAAATCCATGGTTTGGCATTCATCATGATGAACACCTCATTCAGGTGGGTTCAAAGGTTGAACATGTTGACAGACTCGTTGGCTAGAGAGAGGGCCAATAGGGATTAATTGTATTGGAGTTGTGCCTGAGAGGGTAGGACAGGTTGTGCATATGGATAATATTGCTTGTTGGGTGTGCTGGATGATCTAGCCTAGCACATATCTTACTTCTATTTTCCCTTTTTCTAATAAAATTCACATTAATGTGTTACTGATCAAAAAGATTAAAATGCTGGCTACAAAATAATATCTGTTAAAACAGTGGTTTGTTTGCCTTCAGAGTTTCACCTGAACTAAAAGACATCCCGAGTGCCTCATGAGTCATGACATATTTACATTATCTAAGAAATAAATTGCACACCAAAAAGTAAATCATATTTATAATATCTCTAACCTTCTTTGTTTTGCAAATCCAGGTGAGCTAATGATTAGTGGAAGAATATGCATCTTGGAACCAGATCTATGTAAGTTAATACTCAGTAATCTGTTATTATCAATATCCAGAGCTCTGTGAAAATTGTGTGGAAATTAAAAAAAAAAAAAAAAGAAAATCATTACCAAATTCAAAGAGTTGCAAACACATAGGAGGTTCTTCTTTAGCAAGCTCTTGGTCATTAGGTAGAGATCTTGAACCCCATGGATATCTTGCCAATGTAGATAATGAAGATGTTGCTACCTATTATTGAACAAAAGGAATGCAAATATCAGGATCAATTTAAAGTAGTAGATATCTTTTAGAAAATAGAAAGCTCCAAGTAGTGAATGAAATACAGATGATAACAAAAAAGAAAAAAATCCTGACACTCCTCTATCCAGCAGGGCCCCCAAATCTTTAAAAACCCTTAATAGGACTTTATACAATTCAAAGTAAGAAACTCATTACTACCACTTTTATTGGTTTATTTTGTTTATATGTCCACAATAATATAACCTAAGGTTTACAATGATATGCCTGGATAAGCAATATATAACAAAGCTTTACAAAACATACTCCTACAGAAAAGAACTACAAGATGTTTGGCCAGGAGATTACCTCTAAAACATTGTTGCGATTCTTAGATGGATCACTTCCCTGTGAGCAAAATATAAGAATCATAAGAGAATACAGATGCAAGATGACAAGCAAACCCTTGGCTCCTTTACTGTGTAAATACATATACAAGATAGAATTTTTAAAAGAAAAAATTTAGCAATAACACATCATATTTGGATTCTTTATTCCATTTACTCAAAAGATTAAAGCTAAATGCTTATGAGCTCCAAGTGTTGAAATGCAACTGTGTATTAAAAGATGACGATGGTAAATTAAGAAAAATTTCATGATGCCAATGAACAACTCCAACTCTAATACTCGACTCAACTAAGCCTTGTCCCAGCTATATGGAGTCGGCTATATGAATCTTCTTCTGCCATTGCGCTGTGTTCAGGGTCATATTCAAATTCTGGGCCCTTGAATCATTTCTCACTACTTCAAACCCATGTCCATTTGGTCTGCCCTTAGCTCTTCTAGACCTTAAACTTGCAACAGATCACTTCTTCTCACCGGTACCCTAGATGGTCGTGACCAAACTGGCTCGACTAGAATATTTTCAACACGGATTAAATTCAGATAAGTTTTGCTACATGTGAATGCACAGGTACAGGCACATAAAGAAGGAGAAAAAAGAATCTGTTAAAGTATGAAGTTCAAACAACTGCAGCAATCCCAAAATGAAATAAAGAAGGAGAAATAAGAAAGGGAAGCCAGCAAGATATGCTAGAATCTGTTAAAGTATATAACAGGAGAGAAAAAAGAAAGGAGCGGAGAAACTTACATTGAAAAGCCTTAGCAGAGGACAAAGAAGAGACAAAAAACTGGTTGATGGGTTGTTGCCATTTCGAGAGACTGTGATTTCCTCCTGAGGGAGTTGGGTAGCTTGGTCAGTACCAATCTCCGAGTTGGTCGGTTTTGCATTGAATTTGCGTCGGCAGGCAATCCACCTCACATTTCTAGAAAATAATGGAGACCCAGTCGAGAAATTGTGCTTAGGCACTGAGGCATGAGCGTTTCGGAATGAAATTCTCTTGCTGTCGGCGAAATTACAAGTTGGTTGTGAGGGAGGGGGACGTTCACAGAACGTCACAGCTAACATGATTCGGAACCTGTGCTGTGGCTAGACGTTACAGCATCTCTCAGCTTCAAATATCTCGAGGTCCGTCCAAACCGACCCAAGAGGCCAATATTACAAAATTACAATTACAGAAGTTAACGGTAACGAACGAAAACCCAATCCGGAAGACTTCGGGTTGAACACCAACCCCGACCCTAATCCAGCTTGGGATCGATATAATAGATTCAGATGGGTACAGTTTGGGTCGGATTAGGTTGGGAAGTTGTTAAGTTTTCAATGTGCCCGAGCACTAACCCGAATCCAATGTATTTGAAATTCTTTAAGCCAAGATTATATACGACAGAATCCAGAATAATCATATTGTTTTTAACAATCACATCTTTAACCAGTTTAGGAGCCTGTAACTTGCTATTTATCCTACATTGGGATGATCAAGACTGAATATAATTGAACCAAAGTTGATCTTCATCTTTTCTTTTCTGTTTTGTTGTTTTTTGATAGACAAATAGATTATCTTCATCTGAAATGTAGTTATTTGAAGCAAATGTTTGGAGTATGGACAGTGCTCAAAAAGTTCCATTTCAACTTTAAAAGCCTGGAGAAATAATGGTGAATGAGTAAAATGATCTAAAAACATAAGAGCATGAAGATATTTGATGTAAGCCCCTTCTTAGATCTCAGGTGAGATGAGCCGTTGAAAGATAGTTGTCAAGTAGACCTGTTAATGGGCCGGGTAGCCCGACGGCCCGGCCC